AGTTTTATTTTGAAAAAAAAAAAAAATCCTTTGTAAGTCACCATTGAATTTTTTGAGGACGGCAAATTTGTTTTTTTTAAAAGAAGTTTTTTATTAGCATATATTAACTATATGCGTAACAATGCGTTTTATTATTCATTATTTATTCATTCTTTAATGGGTCCTTTGACTATATTCGTCTCCATTTTCCTCTCTTGTCCTCTCCTCACCCCCACTGGTCACCTTCCTTTTCTCAGCTAGCCCCTCTTCTACTCTTCATGACTTTTTGGGGGGCTAGGGGTATGAGTTTCACTGGAGCTGCTTACTGGAGTACCTGTGAGGGATGAGTACCAGAGAGAGAGAGAGAGAGAGAGAGAGAGAGAGAGAGAGAGAGAGAGAGCATGCGCACTCTACCTGTAGCTCCATCTCCACAAATGTCTCTTCCTTCTCAGCGGGCATGGCCTGTAGGTATTCAGGGAGGAGTGGGGGCTTTTCGAGCCCCTAACCCTTCATGACAGGATGTTGATAGGCTCAGATTTGGACAGGTTTTGTTCAGGTAATTACAGAAGATACTGCCAGGTCACAGTTCTGAGACTCACAGTCCAGGTCTGTGGTACTACGTGTGGAAGCCGGGGTCTAGCACACTGTCCTTCCATAGGGCAGGAGGGGAGGGCAAGCCACACGGCATCACTCTCAGCCCTGCTGTGGGCTCAGGATCTGAATACTGCCCTCAGGCCTTCCTCCCAGCCCCCGTGCCAGGCTGTTTCCAGCATCTCTGTCTTGGAGGCACATCAGGTCACACAGCACGCATACCACCTCATCCATCACCCGCAGCCCTAGGGTTCTGGTGACCCTTGTGGAGGAAAACCACTTAGTAGACTCACTGACCCTTAGGCTGTTGTTCCTCAGGGTGACAGACCATGTTAGCTTCAGTTTGCTGCAGTGAGGAGATTTCCCCTCACACTTCTTCCTGCATGTCTTCACCCAACACTCAGGATGACGGGGAGCCCCTCTCCTGGCTTGTGACACAAGGGAGGCTGGACTTGGACCTGTGCAGTCACTGTTCCTTAGGAACACCAGGTTTAATCCCAGCTGAGGCCAGAGGGAAGGACTTGCTTAGTCCTCTTTTTCAAGTGTCTTGTATTTATTTATTATTTTATTTATTTACATTTCAAATGTTATCCCCCTTTCCGGTTTCCTCTCCACAAACTCCCTATCCCCTCCCCTTCCCCACTGCTTCTATGAGGTAGCTCCCCCCTCCCACCTCACCGCCCTAGCATTTCTCTACGTTTTGGCATCCAGTCTCCACAGGACCAAGGGCCTCCCCTCCCGTTGATGCCAGATAAGACAGGGATCCATCCCATCTGCAGACACCAAACCCAGACACTGTTGCCGATGCCAAGAAATGCTTGTTGACAGGATGCTGGTATGGCTGTTCCCTAAGAGGCTCTGCCAGAGCCTGACCAGTACAAATGCGGATGCTAGCAGCCAACCATTGGACTGAGCATGGGGACCCCAATGGAGGAGTTAGGGAAAGGACTGAAGGAGTTGAAGGGGTTTGCAACCCCATAGGAATATCAACCAACTAAACCCCCAGAGCTCCCAGGGACTAAACCACCAACCAAAGAGTACACATGGCTCCAACCAGTTATTGTAGCAGAAGATTGCCTTATCTGGCATCAAATGTCTTTCTTGCCTTAGTCTCTACTGCCACCTTGTGGCAGGTACCGTAAGCAGTCCCAGCGACTTCCCCTGCCTCCCTGTGTACATCTCAGCTCTGGTGACGTTCCAGACACGGGGATGAAAAGTGAAATTAGTCTGTGGATGAAAATCTTTCTCCAAGGTGAAGGGCATCTGGGAACACACACCCTTTCCTTTCTTCTAAAATGTTCCTTTATTTCTAAAAATGTCATACATGCCTACAATGAAATATGATCATTTAACCTTACATTTATTTACCTCTCACAACTTCCCCATAGCCCATTACCCACCCAGTATGCCCCCTCCCTTCCATATTTATATCCTTAAAATATTTTTTTGATAGCCTACTAAATACTTAGTGCTGCTCATATGTGCATGGGCATAGGGCCATCCAGGAAACACCAGAGACTAATGGTAGAAACATCCTTAAAAAAAAAACAACGATCCCCCCTCCTCTAGCAACTATCCAATGCAAATAGCTCCTTAGTGTGAGACAGGGCCTGGGACGCTGGCAGGCATGACATTGCACAGGTAAAGACAGATGCTGTGAATTCACCAATGCAGTGGCGTGTCATGTACAGAAGAAAGCACATTCTCCTTCCATCCTCTGGCTTTTACAATTTTTTTTAATGATTTATTTATCTTATGTATATGAGTACACCATTGCTCTCTTCAGACACACCAGAAGAGGGCATCAGATCCCATCACAGATGGTTGTGAGCCACCATGTGGTTGCTGGGAATTGAACTCAGGACCCCTGGAAGAGCAGTCAGTGCTCTTAACCACTGAGACACGTCTCCAGCCCAAGAATGGATGTTGAAAGCTGCAAAAGAGAAAGTTTCAGTTATTCATAAAGGCAGAATCACCTGTCTCATTAATGCTAACACTTGATTACTCAATGGAAATTTTACAAATGTTTATTTACTTTATAAGTATGGGTCTTTTTTTGCCTGTGTGTGTGTTTGTGTACCACATACATGTAGTGTCCAGAGAGGTCAGAAAAGGGCATCAAATCTGGTGTAACTGGAGTTACAGATGGTTCTTAGCTGCCATGTGGGTACTCAGAACCAAGTCCTCTGTAAAACCAAGTGTTCTTAAATACGGAGCCATCTCTGCAGCCCCACAGTAGAAATATTTAAGGCTAGATGCCTGGAAAGACATATTCCAAGTTCTGAAAGATCAAAACTCTTAACCCAGGGCATTATACCCAGAAAAAACTTAAAATTCAAGGGAAATAAAAGTTTTTCCTAGAAAAAAAAAACAGATGAAAAGTGTTTGTGACAGTAAGCAGCTCTACAGAGGACACTGTTGGGTAATACCTCAGACTGAAGAGACACACCCATACACATGAGGGGACATGGGCTAAATCAAGTGTTAAGTATGGGGGTGGGAAATGCTGTGTGGCAGGAGGCTTAGCCGAACTGAAGGATTCCTGTATTCAAATCTACAACCTCCACACAAGAAAAAATAATACAAGGGGATAGCAGAACACAGGCAGCTTGAAATGGAGGGAGGGGGGTTTCACATTTAAGTGTGAATAGGAGGACTGGAGGACTGGGGAGAGGAGAGGGTTAAGCTGGGTTAGCCAAAGGTAAGGACACATGAAGAAGCCGTATGGAAAGTCGCTACTCTGTAAGCTAACATTTACAAAGTGATTTAAACAAAGTGTATGCATGGATGAACAGTGTTGCTCTCTGAAGAAATGTCTTAGGCTGGGTGTGGCGACACATGCTTTCAAGCCCTGCACTCAGGAAGCAGAGGCAGGAGGATCTCAAAGTTTAAGGCCCACCTGGTCTACCTAGCTTGTTCTGGGACAACCAGGATTGCACAGAGAGACCCTGTCTTTGAAAAAAAAACAAAACTAAACAAAATGAAACAAAACAAACAATAACAAAAAGACAAGACATGGGTTATTAAATGAAACCTTAATTGCCTACAAGTTATTAGTCAGGAAGACTCCAGAGGAATCCAAAGCAAACCAGGATGTTTATTGTCTTTGTTCCTGGCCGTCCACCATGACTAGATGTTGTGGTAATTATTTAAAACTGGCCTCTGGTTCATCCGACTAGGCTGCAGCGGCTCTGCCTAGTCCAGCCGCCATGTTTCTTGGCCTGAGGGCACGTGCGCGCTGCAGCTAGAAACAACCAGACAGAAACACCAGCCCTGCCACCCACGAGATGCCAGTGTGAGAGATGGCTCTGCCAATCTTTCATGCTGTCTCCCAAGGCTGGGCATTGCCCAGACCATTCTGCCATCCATACGGGCCCAGTAAGAGAATGAGACTCTAATTCTTATAGATTAATCAAAGGCTTTATATGTTTGATAATGATTAATAACAAGATGCCCATACAAAGAGAGTTGTATCCCAATTAGCTAACCTAATTATAAGTTTATAAGTTGTTCCCCACGAGTGCTCTCCATACCTGTGTGGTTCTCCATCCTCCCACATCTCTGCACTCTCTAGCTCCTCCTCTTCCTTTTTTTCTATTCCTCTCCCAACTCTTCTTCTTCCTCTCCTTACTCCTCCCACCTTAGCTCCTCCTACAACTAGATGGTAAGAATTTATCGCTGAAGATCCACTTATTTTGGATGCAGAGCAGAGAAGATTCCATCTTGCCCATCCAGGAACTCTGTCCTGCTGACTGGCTTTCCTAGCAGGGCAGCTGTTATGCCAGTTGTTGCTGGGTGGGAGGGGCTTCAGCGGTCTCATCCAGAGCTGGACAGAAACAAGATCAAGTTAGTCAAAATTCCAGCAGGTGTTGGGGAGGAGCCTTTGAGACCACCCTTGGTGTAGGAGCTATTAGCAGCTGCTGTTTGCTCAGGGAAAGAATGACATTCTCCTCTGGGGACATGAGCTCTTGTAGGTTGCCACCATACTCATGTGCATGTGGGCACTACTAATTGGACTTTGGTTATTATTAATAATAATGATAAAAAAGCAGACATGAGGAGAATTAGAAGAAGTTGGAGACAGATGGGAGTGAAATCCGTTGTATATCTGTAGGAAAGTTTCAAAGAATAATTAGGGGTTGGAGAGATGGCTCAGTGGTTAAGAGCACTGGCTGCTCTTCCAGAGAACCTGGGTTCAATTTTCAGCAACCACATGGCAACTCGCAACTGTCTATAGCTCTCACACAGACATACATGCACGCAAATCTGCCAACGTGCTAAAATAAATAATTAAAAATAGTGTTTTAAAAATAAGGTGAAGGGTGATTGAGCAAGACACACAGCGTTAACCTCTGACCTACACACACACACACGCACACACACAGAGAGACACATACATGAACATATACACGCAAAAAGCACACACATGTGTGCTCACGTTGGCAGCACATATACTGAAACCGGAACAGTACAGAGATGAATATGGCCTCTGGGCAAAGATGACATTCAAGTTCATGAAAACACACATGCTACAAATAAATGAGTAGTTACTTGGAAGTGGGACACTTGCCATAGACAGGGCACGGTGATCTCTGATTTCCTGCTGGTTCTTGATCTTTCCTCATCCTCTGTTCCAGTCACCGCACCTTCACGTGGCCGCTCGGCTGCCTCCGGGTTCTGAGCCTCCCTGGGCTGCTATGGAAACCTGGCTGCCTTGTGCTCCACCCCCTGTCAGCCCACTGCTGCCTAATCTTTAGGTTCGAACTTACCAGGACCCCATGAGTGACTCAGGATCTTGGTTGTGGAGTCCTTTTTCCTTTTCCTCTGGTCCTTGCCAGTTTAGTTATCGGTCACAGGCCCTTACCTGAGCTCATATTTTGGCTGTGATATCCTTGCTGTGTAGCCTAATCGCCTCGGCTTCCTCATCTGAAAGTTGGGGTGTCACTGTGAGCATCGACTGCAGCGGCAATCTCTTGGGAGGGGCCTGAGAAGCATCTGTTATTTTGGTGTCAGATTCTGTCTTGGTGGGATTTTTGGGGAGAACATTGGTGAGTGCGTGTGTTTAACCTTCATGTCTGACTTAGAGTTTTATTGCTGCGAAGAGACACCACGACCAACTCTACTCTTAGAAATGAAAACACCGAATGGGGGCTGGCTTATAGTTCCAGAGTTCAGTCCGTTATCGTCATGGTGGGAAGCACGGCAGCGTGCGGGCAGAAGGTGCTGGAGGAGCTGAGAGTTCTTCATCTTGATCCGAAGGCAGTCAGAAGAAGGCTTTTACTGGGCTTGAGCATAGGAGGAGACCTCAATACCCACCCCCTCAGTGACACACTTCCTCTAAAAAGGCTAAAGTCCTCCAGTAAGGTCACAACTCTTAATAGTGAGTGACACTTCCCACGGACCAAGCATATTCAAACCATCATAACCTCTGAGTGCAAGTCTCAAAAAATGTTGGCATTTTCCAGAACCCGTTTGCATCCACAGGCTCAAGCTTGGGCTCCTTCTTCTGCAGCTTACCGTAGGCTCGTACCACCACTATTGGCAAGACCGATTTAATAACTTTATTAGGTTTAACAAATTGAATAATACTTCAGTCTTATTCAACGAAAGGAGTGTTGCGGATAGAAGAATAAACATATTTTTACCAGTCAACAAACTGCGTTTGGAAGCATTTGTGCTGACCAAACCTTGGCATGAAAACCACAGCCTCTTGGTACAATCAATTCTGCAAAGAAATTTGATTGGGTGAAGTGAATAAAATCGACAATCATAACGGCCGTGCAAGCCATGAGGTCACCCTTTGCTGTGGTGAGCACTGTGTGAATTCAGTCTCATTGCTGAGAACGGATGTGGAAAGGATTTTATTTGCCATTTACAACCAAGTTCAAGAGGAACGGTTCAGTGGTTTAGCAGTATTGAGGGAGGCCCTCTTTGTACTGTCTGGATTCTGGCTACAGGAGAGAGACCTTCTGGGAATCAGCCAGTGTTATAGCATCTCAGGGGCAGGGACAAGGGGAGGGACTAGGAGAGGGGCAGAATTTCATCGAGATCTCTGTGGACTCTCCTAAGGCATCAGCTATGGTTGAGGAGGGCTGTAGGCTATGTGTTCTTTTCCCAGTACTAGGAATGAGTGTCAGGTGCTTGCACAGGTGAGTACTAGGAAGAGTCTATGTCCCTGATGGGAGACAGAAGTCAAGTAAGACTTGAGTGGTGAGCCACTCAGGGGAGACAGCAGGGAAGGGTATTACACTGAATAGGCAGATAGGCTAGGGTCTGGCTGGCTGGGACTGGGAGAGAATGCAGTGATGCGGAGTGGCCACCAGAGGGTGCACAAGCACTATAATTTGGCCGCTTAAGGCAGAGCGGCTGCTGCAGGGCCTGAGGCCGACCGGCCTGCCAGTGTTGACTGGACCCTGACAAGACACCGATGACCCCAAAGTTGAGCAAACCGTGGCCTTTCCAGGGGTGGGCCAATAACTTGATCAAATCCTGACTCTCATCTAAGCTGGTGGTGTGGAGCTGCTTGCTCCCTGCAGGGTACAATGACGACATTTTAGGCAGACGAGCTTACAAGAATTTTCATCCAGAGACTCCATTAGGAGTAGTCTAAGGACATTGTCCCAGACAGAGGCCAGGTAGCTGCTGTAAGAGATGCAAGAAGCCAAGTGACCAACCTCTTTTGGAGAAAGCGTATGCAGGCAAACATAAGGCACAGGACTTGTAACCATAACCCAGAGAATGTCGGCATGGTTAGGGGGAGGGGGTGGGGTTATGAGGAGACAGATTAGGCTGAAGAAGATTTGGAACCAGAGGAAGATGAATGGTAGCTCACGCCTTTAATCCCAGCACTCAGGAGGCAGAGGCAGGAAGACTTATGAGATTGAGGCAAACTTGGCCTACACAGTGGGTTCCAGGACAGCAGGGCTACACAGAAGAACCCTCTTTTGAAAAATAAAGAAAAAAAAAACAGAAGAAAATATAATTTGTCAACAGGAAGCAGGATAAACCCAGGGAGGAAACAGAAAACGCCGTAAAAATATGCACAGAGAACTGAGACCAAAGACCCTGGTCATGACAGCAAACAGCAATGGCTTAAACTAATCACTTAGAAGAGATTCATACATTGAACTATGAACCACCCTACCCCAGACTGACTTTATAATTAAAACCTACAATTAAGTCGGGCGGTGGTGGCGCACGCCTTTAATCCCAGCACTCGGGAGGCAGAGAGAGGCGGATTTCTGAGTTCGAGCCCAGCCTGGTCTGCAGAGTGAGTTCCAGGACAGCCGGGGCTATACAGAGAAACCCTGTCTCAAGAAACCGGAAAAACCTACAATTAAAAACAAAGACACAGGGCCTCAGAGAGTGAAGTACTTCCCCAGTAAGTATGAGGGCCTGAGTTTGAATTCTTAGAGCCTACACAGCTGTGTGTGGCAGCCTGAGTCTGTGACACTTCTGCTCCTAAGGTAAGATGGGAGGTAAAGACAGGATCCCTGGAAATGCGCATCTCTAGTGTGTACAGCAGCCATGAACAACAAAGAGACCTTGTCTCAAACCAGGGAAAGGCATGGACTGACCCCGAGGTTGTCCTCTGACATCTACACGTGCCTGTGTCGTGTGTGTGTCTTCTCTGAGGCTTTCGGAGGGGTGAAGGAACTTGGCTGCCTTTTCCTGGTCTCCAGAGTCCCCCTGGTCTAATAGAGCATGCAGTGACGCAGTTGGACACTAGGGGGCGCTTAAGCTCTGTGCTGGCGGGACCTGGCCTGTGCATCAGCGGCTGAGGACTCACAAGTTCTCCTGTCGGTGTGACCTGATGGGGCTGACCGGCCCACAGCTGTGTCTGATGACAGCGTCAGACATTGATTGGTGAGAGGCCTCACTAGGTCTTAGAAACCCAGTTCTGGATATACAGGTGCAGGTAGGAGTGGTATCCGCTAATTCTGTAGACACCCCACCAACACTCCCTCACCTCAGTCATAAACCATGTCTGCTTTTGGTCTAGCCATACGTCCACAGGGGAAGTGGAAGCCCAGCCTTCCCAGAAGCCTTCCCAGCAACTGTGCAATACCATGCACAGAGCCTTGGGGCTACCACAAGGGGACACGTGAGCCTCAGGATATCCCCCCGGAACCTTGGTATAAACCTGCAGTTATAAACCCATAACCACCAAGTACAGGAGGCAGTCTTCCTTGGATAGATGGGACATATACCATGCTCACAGCCAGGGGGTTGTCATGAGGGGAACATGAGTTCGGCTCACCTACCCGAATGCAGTATAAGTCTGCAACCTCAACTTGAGCACCAGGATTGTGTGCTCTCTTACCTCAACCAGACAGGACATGTATGCACGTCCACACACACCAGACAGGACATGTATGCACGTCCCTTTCCCACAGTCCTTTTTCACCCACTCTGACAAGAAACCTTCTGCGAGCGGCAGGGTGTAGTGTGCTGCAGTGGCCACACGGTGGCAGCAGAGCTCTGCTCCTGTGGACACTAACCAGATGCCTGTTGGAGTTGCTGGTTAGTCTTGGGAGAGCAGTCCAGACCACAGTGAAGGCTGTGGAGTCCAACACATGCTCCACTTCTATCCCCAAGTAGGGTCAGTTCTCACCTGGTCCAGACTCAACTTTAAACGTCCCAGAACTGCCAAACCTCAGTGGCATTCTGACTACAGTCTGGTCAACCAGAGAATCTTGGCTAATAGTGAGACTGTACACATCACATAATCTCTGCTTCTACCAGTGTTGACCTCTCTCTGTGCCCCCTCATTTCTGATAATGTGAACAGTGCTAGAGCCTCAGTGGGGAGGATTAGACTCAGATGTGCGCGCACACACACACACACACACACACACCCAGGCCAGTTCAGTCAGTCAGCAGGTTCTCCAGCGCAGGAGTGAGGATTAAAAAGAAAAAAGACAATTAGACAACACTGTAGCATGACCCCAGCCAGTGCTGAGGCTGAAGGCTGAGGCGGGTTTATTTTTTCCCAATTTGATTTTAAACCATTTTAACTACATGCAAGTATTTAGGTCAGTTCTGCTTGAGGAACAAGCAAGACAATAAAGAAAGTCTCTTGATCACTGTTTTTAAGGGCTTATCAGGATGACAAAAATATCTGAGCCTACTTCCTTGTCCTAGCCCACAGTCATATTCATGCCTGAGGCCTACTTCTTTGTTCAAGCCTAAGACTTAGATTCCTGACTGAAATTACTTCTGTTTTAGCCTAAAATTAGATTCCTGCCCGAACTTACTTCCTTGTCATGGCCCAATGTCAGATTCCTGCCTGAAGCCCATTTCCTTGTCCTTGTCTAATGTCCGATTCCTGCCAAGCAGTCCACACACATAGAGGCATATACATTCTCTCTGAGTATGTGGTTGTCACCTGTGCCTGAGAGTCTACCTGGGTGGGTGGGGCCAATTCTTTGAACCTGGCTTGGCAGAGCTTGCAGTGCTTCATCTAGCCACCAGGGGGCACCTGAGCTCTGCACTGTGCACTGTGGTGCTTAGTAGACCAGCCAGTGCGACCTGA